GAAACAGCAGAAAAGAAGAAAAGATAACACAGCATTACAAAGTAAAGTAAGTTAAAGCAAACATGAGTTTATAAATAAAAGCAAAAAAAGAAAAGTAAAAAAAAAGCGAACCTACGGATAAAAGCAAAATAAAGCAAGAAAACTGAGCCTATGCGTGTGGAAATTGTCCTATAAAAACTCTAGATGCTTAGGTAAGCATCAGCATAAATGGGGAAGCCTACCATTGTGAGCGCGTTTTTGTAGAAAAATTTCCACATGCATAAGTTCAGTTTTTATTTGCTTTTGCGTTCTTTAGCTTTTATTAATAGGTCCTGATTCTGTAGTTTCGCTTCTTTTTCGTCTTTTTTCATAACTTTAGGTTTTCTTTAATTTACTTTTCTTTGTGCTGCTATGTTGCCTCTTCCTCTTTACTGCTATCTCCAGTTTTTGCCTCGAACTCCTGACTAGTACCCTTGTTCCTCCCTTCTATCCTACCTTCAAATCCTGCCTCCATAGCGGTACCTGGGCACCACCACTCCCAACCATTGCCACCATTTATGGTCTCGAACTCCTGGTTAGCCCCCTTGCTCCCCTCTTTACTCTGTCTTCAACCTGTGCCCTCCGAGCTTCAGTTTCGGCACCGCCAACTTCCCATGCCCTCCATCCACCACCACCCCCGTCAACTCAATCCAGCCACCCAGCACTCGATAGCAAGCGTTAGCAAGAAAGCTGGAGCATTCTACAGTGGCGGTTGAGCTTGATCCGGCCGAGGTTCAGTGATTGCCATGATTTCCGGTCCTGCTGAGCGGTATTTTGTGTGTGTGGTCCACTATTCGAAGATGTGGCTACTTTGCTAGTTATGGTAACAACCGGGGGTCATTTTGGCTTGGATCGGTTCGGGTTGGCTCGGCGCGGCTCAGCTCGACTCGACTTCGATTCTTCGCCACCTTTTTCGATTTGTCCATTGCACAACCATAGCCCTTCAAACCCCTGTCCGCGATCTCCCCATACGCTCCTCCAGTTTTATTTTAAAAGAACACAGCAAGGGTGGCAGTGAGGTGGAAGAATTCGCTTGAATGGCTGTATGAAATTCTGCGGAGGAGGGGGAAGAAATTTGGATCGTATGAAGCTGGCTTACTTTGGGATATGTTTTTAGTGTCTTTGTTTCATATTTCAGATATTACAGTGTGAGATAAAGATTTCAAATTCAGCCCATAAGTGTGTGTGATACCCATGTACGGGCACGTGAAAGTTTTGTCGGGAAAATTGTTAACTCGGTAACCAGAAAAGCTGGAGGGCTGAAATTTTAAGGACAAAATTCTCCACCGACTGTCTTGTTTTTGCTTTTCGGAAATCCGTTAACTTAGTTGAAATGTGGAACGTGAAAGATGCATGGATTTAATTCTGATGAGAAAGGCGGCTAACATAACTGTTTCAGATAAGAAATTCTGTGCAACAATGAAGCAGTTTAAGAGGTACATCGACAAGGACGGAGCGGGGTTTGTGCCTTTTTTCCGACTCAAAATTTAGCGAGTTCTGAAGAGCTGAACAGAAGGGGCAAGCAAATACAGCATTGAACGCCTTCCATATACAGCACAACGATGCGGGATGGGGTCTTTTTGACTCTCTGACGACGGCTCTTGTGCTGTTAAAGTCCCCTGCAGTGTACAAAAAAAAATGCATCGAAATCAATTCTCTAAACTTTTAAATGCTAAATCGATAAAATCACTAAATCATGCTAAATCGACGATAAATCGCTTCGGAGTTCCTGATTTGTATTAAAATTCTTGTCAAAATCAAAATCAAAGCCGTATTTCGCTGTCCAGTGAAAGGCGAAGGAACTCGGGAAGCGATTTATAGTAGTGGCAGCGGATGCCAGCAACAACCACCCGCTGGTAAAGTTGTCGATGGCTCCTTCTTCTGAGGGTTGCTTACAAGTAAGCTGATGGCAAAAAAATTCGTATACTATGCTAAATCACCTAAATTATCTTTGTTACCATAGTCGTCGTACTGATGAGGTCCAATCGTGGTAACGGTAAGAAATGTATACGACTTAATGGATGGAAACATTTCTTACCTATTACAAATATTTCTATGCTCTCGTTCCCTTTTCTCCCTTTTGTTTTTCTTCCCTTTTCTGTTTCATCATTTCCTACCTTATCCTTTATGGGCATATATCAGTACCAATTTACCATCGAAATTGATTGTAGAGGAATTGGTTGTTCTGCCGGCACAGTTGAACCCTGCACAGCAACAGTGCGACTCCACTGCGCCACGCTTGCCGGCCAAATTCTTTTTGGTCACTAAAATCGGGAGGTAAAATATTATAAATTTTAATGAATTTTTGGTGTGCAGTTGGTCAAATGTAATTTTGCATTGGTTTATGCTGATTTTTGCATATTTTTACGTTCTAGGGATGTGACGCTTGTATGCGATGAAGCTGAGGATATGTGGCATGTGTACAATTTGGTGCGCGTCGGCGACACAGTCCGCTGCACAACAATTCGTAAAGTGACCGCAGAATCGAGCACTGGCAGCACATCCAGGTAACCACTGTTAGCAACAGAAGAAATCCTACCAGCATCCGAACCTCCCTTGCAAATTTGGTGATGCGATTTGGCCTTGAAAGTGCTCAGGACAGCCTCGATTTCTTGTACATCCGCGCTGTGAGGGCGACCTTCAGGTGGTCATTTTCGGTAACTTTCGGTAATTGTTATGGATATTTTGAGTCTGTTAAGTGGAGGAAGGCGATCAGGTAAAATACGTGTTCCCGAAATGTCCGCTTTTGTAATTTCAGCCAGCGTGTGCACACGACACTCTCAGTCTGCGTTGAGACCGTCGATTTCGATGGTGTTGCTTGTATTTTGCATTTGAAAGGTAAAAGTGTTGCCGAGAATGAGTACGTCAAAAAGGGACAGTACCACACTCTGGATATCGCTGTTGGCAGGAAGTTCCAGCTTTCGAAGCAGTGCTGGGATTCAATCGACCTGGATCGCCTAAATCTGGCCCTTGATGTATGCTTTAATATGCTTTTACACAATAAAATCTAATACTTTTCCGACAAAAATGAGGGCAAAGGTGCATTCTGATTTCTACTTTCTACTGGAAATATCCCCCCCCCCCCCC